CCAAGATGTCTCTGCCACACCCTGGACTGGCCACGGTCGAGATGTCTCGGCCACACCCCAGAGTGGCCACGACCGAGATGTCTCGGCCACAGCCGAGATTCGCAGGCACTACCCTTCACAGGCAAACGCGAAGTCTCAAGAGTAGCCTACTCTGAAGAAGTGGGGGGCTCGGGGCAGGGATGGAGGCCAAAAAAAAAAAAAAGAAAAAAAAAAAGTAAAGGAACGAGGAACTTGGAATACACCTACGTCGGGAAGACCCTCAGGTCACGGGTGCTTTGAGGAATGTATCTGGCCAGGAAGTGAGGAACATGAAACAGGTCGATTTCCTTTTTTTGTTTTTTGTTGTGAGGTCCTTGTAGCGCCCTGCCAGCCAGGCAGGGCGGATTCCACGCTTCATTGAGTTCAGGTGTATCGGACCGCAATCCCAGGATACGGGATGTTTTTTTTTTTTTTTTTTTTTTTTTTTTTTTTTTTTTTTTTTTTTTGTGGTATAAAAGACAGACAGCTTTCTGCGGATACCCCGCCCTGAAAAGGAGAGAGAAAAAAAAAGATAAAAAAACTGTATGATGTGGTTTGTTCCTTTTTGCGGGGAGGGAAGGCATCATTCTTTTTTTTTTCGACAGTGTGAATTCTTTGTGTTTCGTCGTCCTGCAGCTCCTGCTACATCATCACGGGGCTCTCCTCGTGTCATCTCCACATTTACCTGTAAATTTTTACCCCTTCTTTTCATCTACCTGTTGTTACTTTGACGCATACGATCTGCAGCAGATTGACTAGACGGGGTAGTTATGTGTGTGGTAGCGAATGAAAAGACGGAGGGATATTGATGTGTGCCCCTTTTTAGGAGGAAGAAACTTCGAGGAAGGAAGCTTCGAGCTCTGGACAATTAGAATTCGCTCGGTGTTGATTACTACATGTCCAGCTGTATCTGCAACAGAGTGACCAGAGAGAGTTGGTATTGATGTGCGCGTTAGTGAGTGAAAAGAGGGAGGGATATTGATGATTGAATCGTGCGTTTAGAAATGTGTGCTATTAGAGAGAAGGAAACGAGTGTCTATAATCGAGTAGCTATAATAGCACGTGACTATTGAAGTATTCGCAATAGATAGAAACTCTGTAATAGCAAGTGCCTATAGGCTATAGGCTATTGTGTGTCCGCAATATAGAGTAATAAATCGATAATAGAGTGACTATATGTTCGCAATATAGAGTAATAACTCTAGAAGTGCCTATAATAGAGTGACTATAGTGTGTTCGCAATATAGAGTAATAAATCGATAATAGAGTGACTATAGGCTATAGTGTGTTCGCAATATCGAGTAATAACTCTAGAATAGAGTTCCTATAATAGAGTGATTATAGTGTGTTCGCAATATAGAGTAATAAATCGATAATAGAGTGACTATAGNTATCGAGTAATAACTCTAGAATAGAGTTCCTATAATAGAGTGATTATAGTGTGTTCGCAATATAGAGTAATAAATCGATAATAGAGTGACTATAGACTATAGAGGTAGCATCAATGTGTGGTAGTGAATGAAAAGAGAGGAAAAAGAGGGAGGGATATAGATAGATTGTGTGCGTTCAGAAGGAAGGAAACGAGTGAAAAGGAAGGATGCGTTTGAGCTATTTATAGAACACGGACGCGGTTTTTTCAGTGAGCAAGGTCGGACCAGTTCTGGATTGCATAATTCGTGACTCGTGTATGCTTCAACTTGTTGCTAAATACTTAGAGTGAGTGGAAGTGGAGATTAACCTCAGGCTGCTGCTAAATTTAGATCTCTCGTATGCAAAATACTTGGAGCGTGTAAGAAGTGGACATCATCAAGTCAGCAGTAGGCAGTCGATCTATCGTAACTACTCCCCGATTTATGCGCATCTCTGTCGTAACCAGGGTTTACATTCATTAGTTACTCCCAGTGAGTCCCCGACCATTATGATGATGATGATGATGATGATGATGATGATGATGATGATATTGACGATGATGAAGACAACGATGATGAAGACGACGATGATGAAGACGATGATGAGGCATGTAGTAAAGCGCCGTGCATGGCCACGACTTTCTATTTCCCAGTTGTTGCTGGCTGTCGTACTTACGGCCGGATCGTGTCGCGAAGCAACCAGCTTGACCAGTGGTTTGGCCACAATGCTTGCCGCCGAGGCTGCAAGCCACTCCCTCTCCTCCTCCTCCTCCTCCTCGGAGCCCCCGTCATTGCCTTCGTCCCTGGCGTTCCAAGAAGATAATGTAACTGGGGATCCGACGACTCACTTGATTGTTGAAGATGACAGTCCCAGCCCCTGGGTCAAGGAGGGAGACAATCTTCATCATCATCCTCATCATCATCGTCTTTATCGCCATCGCCGACAGCTTCAAGATCAGCGATTGCTTGAGGTACAGCGGCCACTGGAGGCCACTGGTAGTGACATCTCTAGAGTCCTGAAGTTTGAGATCCTCGACGAGAATCTCCTCACACTTCGAGGCAATCTGATCAGCAATTTCGTGCCCGGCAACACGTCCATGCTTTGGTCGGACGTGTGGTCGCTGTCGCTCTCGCCGGCGGACCGGTCGTTGTTCTTCCTCGTGAGCGATGAGTTATGGAGGGTCGATACCCGGCCAGCGGAAAGAGATGGTAGTGGTAGCCTCTCTCGAGTCGCCGGACCTTGGCGTCCGCCAGGCAACGCCAACGGATACTCTCAAGCGTTTGCAATAATTACGATGGAAGGGAAAGTGCCATCGCCCAATAGCGCACCGATGAACAGGATTGCGATAGTGGATGATCCCTTCAACCACTCTCTGCGTGCTGACAACGTGGACGACGGTTCGATTCCTCCTCCGTTCTCTGTTCTGGATTACATGCACGTGACTCTGAACGAGTCGCCGTTTCTCAGTTTGGCATGGGACTCGAAGCGTCGCATCCTGTACGGATCGACACAGAGTGCGCTGTACCGAATGAACCTTTCCCTCAGCGATGGAGGAGGGAAGCCCACTCTGGAGAGGTGGATAGGTCCCGAGCAGAGTTTCACTGGTCTCAAGGACAGCAGCGACGATCCCAGGGCTGTGCGATTCAACGATCCATTCGTAAGCTCCGCTGCCATATCTGCGGACGGCGAGTTCCTCTACGTGGCGGACCGCTCCAATTCAGTGATCAGACGGGTGAGAACGGCCTCTGGAGCCGTGGAGACGGTCGCCGGCAGGGGCTCTCCGGTCAGCCTGGATGCCCTTGGAACCGGTGCGCAGTTCGATCGGCCCGTTGGGCTGGCCTTAACATCCGACGGATGCCATTTATTCGTTTCCGAGTTTGCAGGAGGAGCGCTGCACCTGGTCACGTTCAAGTATAGTGGTGGTGGTGGTGGTGGTGGTGGTCCCGCTCTCAGTGTTGAAACTGTCGCGAGGACGCGTCGTTCAGACCCAGGGAGTGGGTTTTTGCTATTGGGAATGGCCATCTCGCTCAAGGACGATGTGCTGTACGTAGGGAGAACGCTGTACAGTATTTTGGAGCTTGGGATAAATAAAACCGCCCTGCCTCCTAGCGGGAAATCGGGTACTGTTCACCCTTCTTGGCAGGGGATCTTGCTATGGGTAACGGGATCAGTACTTGTCTTTGCACTCGCCTCTGCCGCCGTAATCGTGGGGATCATGTGGCACCGCTTGCAATCCTGGGTCTTGCTACTCAAGTGGGGGCGGTTACCCGGCGTCCCAGTGAACCGGTTCTCCTTCCAGGAGATCTCGGACGCGTGTAACGACTTTAGGGACCGGGTGGGGAGCGGAGGGGCAGCTGATGTGTACAAGGGACGTCTCAGCAGCGGGGAAGTCGTGGCGGTGAAGAGAATCAGAGATGACTCGGAGATGAAGTTCCGTCAGTTCGAAGCAGAGCTTGATGTGCTGGGCAGACTTCGTCACAGCCACCTGTGCAGCATCATCGGCTACTGTGCGGAGCGACGGAGCACTACCAGCGTCGGCTTTGCGCAGGGATGCTGTGGACCCCGTACACCTGGGAAAGCGGAGCTGGCGATCATCGTCCCCTTCGTTGAGGGAGGGACGCTTTACGACCGGTTGCACGGCTGCCCGACGGCCTCCTCCTCGACTGCCGGCGCTGAGCCTTCCCATAGCCACGAGGGGGAGGATGACACAAGCCGCACAACACTCAGCTGGCCAGACAGAGTCTCCATCGCTCAGCAGATCGCCAGAGCACTGCGCTATCTTCATCAAGAGGTAGACCCCCCCATCTTTCACAGAGACGTCAAGTCCAAGAACGTGCTGCTAGAGGACGTAACGGCAACGGAAGGGGGGCGGGGAGGGAAGGGGAAAGAGGTAGTGCGTTCGACGTCGGGAGTGAGGGCTTATCTTTCGGACTTCGGGCTGGCGAAGCTGGGAAACAGCGTTTTCCGTCAGCCGCCGTTAGGCTCGAGCGTGGAGACGAACCACGTGGCAGGGACGTTCGCGTACATAGCGCCTGAGTACCACACCGTCTGCCGACTAACGGACAAGAATGATGTTTATGCTTTCGGGGTAGTCCTCTTGGAGCTGGTGACGGGTAGAAAACCGTTCAGTGATTCATGGCCTGCTCCGAACTTCGAGGCAAGGAGGTCCGTGAGGGTCCAGGGGAGGAAGGAGATGGAAAACCTGGCGGAGCAGCAGCAGCAGGAGGAGGAGGAGGAGGAGATGGTGCAGCAAATTGGACCGATGACTCTTGCGTGCTGGGTGACCAGATGCCTCGGAGGTCCTCCCCTCCCCTCCCCCCCCCCCCCCCCCCCCCCCCCACAGCAGAGACTGGGACGAATCGGGAGAATCGGTACTGCTAGCACCAGTAAACAACACAAACACTGGGGAAACGACCATGCGAGGGATTCCGGAGGAGGAGCGGATTCAGAAGATTGCAGATGCGAGGCTCCATGATGAGAAAGGGAGCAATGTGCGCTGGAGTGCTGTTTACCGAATGGCAAAACTGGCCATGGAATGCATCTCGGAGGAACCGGAGCAGCGACCGAAGATGAGAGAAGTTGCAGATCGGCTGGCTATGCTGGACACTTCTGACGGCGGCACTTCTGAAAAAATATTTCTGCAGCAAGGAATCACACGGCCATTGATCCAGCAATGCTAATGGCCCCTGACGGGTCACATGGTTGAGACAGGCCTTTTTTTTTTTTTTTTTTTTTTTGGGGAACAGGGTAAGCCTTGGCTTTCTTGCTTTGTTTCTCCTTCTGTCTTTTTCATTTTGCTCACATAGCTTGCTTGCCAGACGTTGAACCACCAGTACCCAAGGGGGACCGGTCTTAAGGCCCCCTCTAACGCAAATGCATATGGACCCGAGTGGTGCACCAAGTCAGCCTCCGGGTTAACCCGTACAAACGCCGTTGGTACACCAGTACTTCCTAAAGTTGTGCCCTTTAACAAGCCACAATTTAAGGAAACGTACGGGCCACTACAGATACGCCCAAATTCATCCAAGTAGAAACGTTTCTACTCTATTTTTTTCCCGGTGGCCCATAGGTGGACCTTGTAAGCTTTTATTATGATGTGCCACCTGGCTTGTGCCACTTTGCGGTATTGAGCACACACATGTCCTAGTACTAGGCACATTTGGGTTAATTGAGGAAATACTTCATGGAGCTCCAAACCAGTCTTTCAGTTTAAATTCACAACTTTTACTGGCTCTCAGACTCTCAGTCTATGCTTGCTGGTAGTAGGCAACAGGACTGCTGCCACCCAGAATAGAAGGGGCAGTAGTCTCCGGAAAGAAAAGAGGGAAAAAAAAACGATCACAATATTTAGTCTCTGGTTTGGTTAATCTTATCCTCAGCGGGGGCAAAGAACGTTCTGCGGCATCTCTTTTTCATCAGGCTATATTCATTCAAGACTCAAGAGTTGAAGAGTACATGTATCTGCAAATCACGACTGTCACAATAAACTTGAATAAACAAGTGCTCAAGAATGGGATATGAACAGGATTATCTCCTGTTTCAGCAAGAACTGGCTGGGAGGGGAAAGGAAGGGATGGGTGGCCGAGGTAAAATGGACCGGGGATTGTGCGCCTGAAAGAGAACCTCAGGAGGAACCCCGGATAGAGATGGTAAGAGACTACCAGCTGATTTTTCAGGACTGGACTAAGACAGATCCCGACAGCCCGCTACGTGCTGCACAGGATTTCGCAGATCCCTCCCCCCCCCACCCGCTGTCCTTGGAAGAAAGATTGCCGCCTTCATGACCCCAGGGGCCTGGTGGCAGGATCTGGTGGAATACAGCCTGTCGCAGCTCAGTCCATTTCAGTCAATTTCAGCTATTTCAGGCTATTTCAGGCCTCCTTTCTGCTCAGCTGCTCTGCGTACCTCTGTTTTCTGCTCATTTCTGGTTATCTCTGCTTACCCTTGTTTATCCTTGTTTATCTTTGTCCTCATCACTACATTCTCAGTCTAATGTTCAGTAGGGATGGGGGAGCTAGGGGACGGAGGGAGCCCCCCCCCCCCCACACCMCTACCCGGCACGGCAGCAGATAGGATGACTAAAATTGATATGGGACGTTGGACCCGGTTTCCAACAATGGCGTTCTGTCACTGCGATAATTAAGGGACACTGGACCCGGTTCCAGCTCAGCATAAGAAACTCTAATGTTCACGCAGTGACACTGGACCCGGTTCCAGCTCAGCATAAGAAACTCTAATGTTCAGCATATGGATACAATAGGCGCCCGGAGGATAGTTGGTGGAGGGCAGAGGCTAGGGGATGGAGGGAGACCCCACTGGTGCCCCCCAGTGTTTCCCCCCCCACTACCCTATCCTGCTGCAGGATAGGCTTGGAAGAGTTTGGAAGAGTAGATTGGATAAGGGACGCTGGACCCGGTTTCCAGCACAATGGTGTCACTTCAATGGTGACTGTTTTATAAAGAGGTATTTAAGGGACGCTGGACCCCGTTTCCAGCAGGTGATGCCCCCACCAATAGATGGAGCGGATTCTCCAAAAAAAAAAAAAAAAAAAAAAAGAATGCACAAGCGGACCGCAGGAGAGCGTTGCGGGGCGGCCTAGCGCAATAGCCCAAAGCTGCTTGGGTGAGGCAAGGCGACGACATTGCGGGCTGGGGCCAGCGGCGGGCGAAACCACGGTTGAGGAGTCATCATACCTGACTGGTCTCACCCGCCCCTGCTGCCCCTACCCATGGGGTTAGGCGTGGTTATACTGGCGTGCTGAGTTGCGAGTGCGCTGGTGTGTGGGTGTGGCGTGCTTGCAGGATGATGCTCCTCTACTGGGTATGGAGCCTGATCAGCCTTCTGAAGCACGTCTGGTCTTAGTTACGGAGCTTTGGTTGAGATGCTGTTGAAGATGCTGGTTTAGGCGTTTTGATTCTTTGGCTGCTGTTTTAGGTGTTGATTTGAGGTGGGAATAACAGGAGCATGAAGAGGGTCAAGTTGGCGAAGCTCTTCTGGAGGTCTTTTGGCTCTCTTATTGATGCGCTATGTTGGAGATGTTTTTTCGAGTGGTTGTGCTCTCCTGGAGGAACGCAGTGAAGATGGGGGACTCGTCATTTATAATAAAAAAAAAAAAAAAAACCCTGCTAAACGTTTACACCTTCTTAGTTCTAATCAATGTCCACAATTACGGCCCAATCTTTTTCACATAGAAGTGCAATACGCATAGGAGGAATGTTGCCGAGTGTATCTTGTTGTACTAGCCATTGTTCAACCTTCTTCTCTCTTTCTGAGTCTTTCACCCTTGCCAATTATGCAGCAGGCTTGTATTGAAATTATCCATGGTGCTAAGCTACGAATCCCCCCCGGCCGCGGTTGCCACAGTCACAACCGTGGCCTGCAGTCATGGCCGCAGGCCCGTGTTCATGACCGCGGCCGCACCAATTTTCGCGGCCGCGTAGCGGCCAGAGAGGGAGGGGATTGGGGGTGGGGGTTACGGAATGGGGTTCCGGAACCCTGACCCTACCCCTAGACATGGCTATTGGGCAATGGCCATGGTGATGACACCGTGGGTCCTTGATCCGTTCGAATCTTTCGATGATGATGATGACGACGATGACGATGACGATGATGATGATGATGATGATGATGATGATGATGCAAATGACTAATCCTCTGACTGGATCCTCTGCCTCATCCTTTTTGAGCTAACCATGTGGGATTTCTGCCCCTCCCCCCCCCTTTAACCCCTCCCCTTTAAACACAAAGAACCCTCAGACCCCTGTGATTGGAAAATTCAAGGGTGCCGTGCGAAATGAGCATGTCTATGATGAGTATTGGACTCTCGGTTTCGATTCAAATTGGGTGGTTGTTACGGCAAACAGAGGATGTGCGTACTTGCTTAAACCACCAGTACTTCCGAAAGTCGCGCCTTGTGTACAAGTCGCAACGTCCTGGGATGAGCGGGCCTGGGGCGCTGGAATAAATTGAATTTCATTTAACTAGAAACATCATGGCTTTTTTGGGGGTCCCTGGCTTTATACCATCTGCGACTTGCAGAAGTACTGGTGGTTTGATATGTGAACTTCCTTTCTTCACCTCAGACTGCTTGGTCTGCTAGCTTATCTTTAAGTTGGCTTGACTATGTATCACCCGCGGCCATGACTGCGGGCCCGCTCACCGCAAGCGGTGGAGATCATGGCCACAGGGGCTGAGTGCGGCCGAAAACCCTCGACATTTTTAATTCCTAGGATTATAGGCGGGGAAAAAAAAATATATGGGGTTGTAGGGTTTGAAAAACCCTACATCCCCATAATTTTTATTTTTATTTTTTGATGTTTTTGTGGTTAAAAAAGAAAAAAGAAAACGAAAAAAACAAGTATTAAAATCAACAGAAACATAACAAAAAAAGGGAACTTTTTTTTTTCATTTTTTTCTGATTGCTCGTGGGATAATCATGGTAAACATGTTTCTTTGATTACTTTTTTTCCCCTACATATGCAAATATAAAACAAACAAACAAAAAAAAGATAATAGTGAATAAAAAGAACAAAGCCGTTTTCTTCTTTTTTTTTGTTCTTTTTTTTTTGTTTTTCGTTTTTGATACACACACATACTGATTGATTCATTGTGCTTAGGGGAAAAAAAAACGAATGCGCTAGTTTGTGTGTGTGTGTGTGTGTGTGTGTGTGTGTGTGTGTGTGCATGGATGTGTGAGTGTGAGTTTGCGTGTGTGTCAGTGTGTGCGTGTGTGTGTGTGTGTGTGTGTGCGTGTGTGCGTGTGTGCATGTCTATGTGTGTGAGCGCATGTGTGTGCGTGCACACGTGTGTGTGTGTGTCTCTGTGTGTGTTGTGTGAGGGCACGCGCACGTGTGTGTGTGTGTGTGTGTGTGTGTGTGTGTGTGTGTGTGTGTGTGCAGTGTGTGTTTGTGCGCGTGTGCGTGTGTGTGTGTGTGTGTGTGGTAGATAATTAAAAC